GAGATTTCTGAAACAGAAATGAAATTCTTGTCTGGTCACTTATCTTTCAATTTCTTTTCAATTTTTTGTGGGTTAACCAATTACATTTTTAATCATTCCCGCAAAACAAAATCACCCCCCAAAAAGTGATTTTTCTGAAGTCTGATTTCAGCCATTTTTCAAGTGGCAACCCTCAACTTTCTCGGGCACTTAGCACCATTTGTCAACCATAGTTTTCAGCCCTTCTGCCCTCATATGAAAGCTCAAAGACATAGGGAGTTGATCCTGGCAACGATTCACACAATCTCACCACTTTGGGGGCAAAACAATCTCCTTTTTCAAAAGATACTGTGGGGGGCACTTTTAATGCTAATGAGCTGGCCAGAAATTCTCACTTGAATTAGTGGTATGCGCCCCTCAGTGTAAATCTTGAGAATAGAATCTTGATAACATAATGAGGGTAAAATCCTAATGCTATTGTAAACACAAATTATCAGATTCCTAAAAATCAACATTGTGTTTTTTTCCTAAAACAGAGAAGGCTACTGTATTTGGAAGCAAAGGTTTAGTTGTATCACTGAATTACATTTCACTTGTTGCAATCGTTTATGCAGTGATGACTTTTTATACATGTAATTTGCATGTTTTCTGGTTTTCCTTCTTTAGCTGGTGGGTNACCGTCAACTGGTGGGTGCCTGTCACCGATGTCTGGTCCTTCCGAGATGCATGATGTCACAGCAGCTTCATACATCAGTTGATTTCCGTCGCTGAGGGCAGGAATCAATCACAACGATGTCCAGCGGAGTTAGGGAAGGACTTAATACTTTGAAACTGGAAAAAAACCTAGAAAAGAGCAGTTTTCTCATTAACTGAAAATGGCAATTTTTGTTCTACTTGGATTTCATTAAGTGACACCCATTTATGTTTCTCCTCAATGATTCCATACATTATGTGTGAGGTGTAGTAACTAAATACAATATGGCTACTCTGGAACTAGTTTGCCAACTTCCAATATCATAGACAGTAAATATCGACTATCTAGCAGCAAACTCTGTTACAGAAGGACAGTTACAAATGCAGTCATGTTTTTCTCCTTAAATTTGATCCGTGTGTTAAAGTTTGAGAAATAAATCCAGGATAAAGGATCTTTTTCACTTTCAATGTTTCTTTGTTGCATTCCTGCCTTTTTCAAGTTGGAAAGAATGAAAGAATGCCAAATCTTGATACAGCATTTCGTCATTAGTTCATGCAGGTCAGTCTTTTAAAAGACAGGGACTTGAGATGTTTCCAACTTTGTGTCAAACACTGAAAATGTTGAATCTCTCTCGATTTTGTACACATCTAAGGAAGTAGGATACATTGTTTTTATCCCAAAAGCATTACAAATGGCGACTGCAGTGTACATAAACTTGGACTTAAATCTGAGATATAAAAGACATAATTTGAACTCGGAAAAAGTCAGCTCTAAAACGTCCCCACTAATTTTGATGGCTTTGCATGGATGTGTTTCAAACAACTCATCTTAAAATGTGCTACATGGTCATTTAAATTTTGGAATAACATTTACCCAATCATGGAACTGGTATTTGGAGACTATGGGGCGAATACAAACATTTTTAGGCCGTGCTCTCATTGCACTTGCTTAATTTGAATGAGTAAACGGCTGCAAAGAAGACTAATACTTGTGTGGGATTCCTTTATTCAGTCTTGCCCGGATAATAACATGTTTCGAGGCGTGGAGAAATTAGACGCCACTATTTTTCGTAACGCTTGAGTGACAAACAATGGGGAAAAATGAAGCCAAAAAAACTTATCCTAAACTAAAAAAACATTTCAGCCAACAAAATTATTCTTTCAGTTGAGGAAACAAACTAGACAGCAGTTTTAAAATTTGAAACAGTTGGCCTTTTTGACTCGATTTCCAAGCCAAAACTTTCCACTTTCGAACGTAGGTGGCGCTCTTTAAAGTATACGGTCAAGGGGTCTGAAAACAGAGAATTGTAACAATCCATAACGAGGCTGCCACCTTCGCTATTCAACAATACGAAGGCGGCAGCCTCGTTTTGGATCCCAGTAGTCCACTGTTTAGACTACATTTTCAGACCCCTAGACCGTATACCTTTAAGAGCGCCACCTACGTTACGATCCATAACGAGGCCGCCACCTTCGCTATTCAACAATAGCGATCCATAACGAGGCCGCCACCTTCGCTATTCAACAATAGGAAGGTGGCAGCCTCGTTTTGGATTGTAACGTAGGTGGCGCTCTTTAAAGTATACGGTCTCGGGGTCTGGAAATGTAGTCGAAATAATGAACTGCTACAATCCATAACGAGGCTACAGCCCTCTCTCTTCAACAATGCGAAGGTAGCAGCCTCGTTACAGATCGACCCCAAAACCGTGAACTAAATAAAAGAGCGCCACCCACGTTCAAAGATGGACAGTTTTGGGTGCAACCCATGGGTCAGAAAAAGCCAATTTTTTATTCCAGGAATATTTCCGAATTTTGAAACCGTAACTAGATTAGCTAGGTGATTTCCTCTGCAAAAAGCATCATTTTGTCCGCTAGAATGCTTTTAAAGGCGAGTTTTGCGCGATTTTCCGGTATCTACTCCCTGGTGTTCATTCAAGCATAACGGAGGCAGTAGCCTCGCTCTGGTTCAAAGGGGCTTATTGTTGTGGAGCTAATCGAAGGAGTCCAACAAAAGAACTGGTCTTATTTCCAGTCGCTTGAGCAAACCATTAGCATGTGTGCAATGAGAGTAAAACCCCAAAACGTCTTGTATTCGTCCCATAGTCTCCAAGTACCCGCCATAGAATTGAATGGTGGGTTCTCGCCCCTTATTTGCTCACGTGACCTGTCACAAGGTCTACTTAGGTTGTATTCCGGTCATTTGTAGACTGGTCTTCAGAAGTAAATCATGGTAATATCCGGCGCTCCCCTGCTGCCAAAATTAGTTGCATTTTTCGCCAATTTGTGACCGTCCGATATTGTTGAAGGTAAGGCAAGATGTACCAAAATATCCATCCATTTACTTATAAAAACGGCCATCCATTTGCCTTCCAAATAGGAGCAGGGATCAACTGTTCGCTGCTCATTTCCTTGGTCGTCAAAGGCTCTGAATTGCTTACTTTTTATCTCCTGGTCCAATTCAGGTTCTCTGCTATGCTTCAAAAGCCATTGATAATGAATTCAATTAGAAATAATCATCTCTCTACTCGGACTCATTTGTCGGGTGAGCATGCAGGTATTTGCTGCCATTTTTCTGTACCACACAGTGCAGTTTCCATTTTAATGCATTGCGACTTGTACTGTACGTGCTGCCACTTGTTTGTGCACCAAGTCTATGACGAAGGAGCACTACTTTCAAATTATTTCACAAGATTTGAAAAACTTATCCTCTCAAACTTCTATTTTTCAACATTTTTGCAGTCACAGACCTTCAGGAGGTACAAATATGTAGAGTCAGAATTAATGCAACATTCGTTCAAAACAGAATACAGAACAAGACAACATCATACGAATGAATGAATGAACTGGATGTCAGTATATATGCTTTCTTTCCGTCCTTTTATCTCTAAAACACAATGGTGATGTCGATTGAGTCAGCTACTGCCAAATATTGCTCACTTTGGTTGACATTAATGTGTGACACTCAACCACTGCTTTGTAAAGATCCTGTGTGTGTGCCTTGCATGCAAATTTGATTTATTTGTGAATCAACGACCAATAAGAGGTCAGCTCTAAATTTTGAACATATGTTGGGTACAGCAAGGCACTAATCCAAGAAATAAACTGTGTATTAAGCATTCAAAAAACTTCATCAAATCTGAGGTCGGCGTTGAGAAATTGCACTTCTTAATGAGAAAACTGTTCCTTTTTTTATTCATTCAGAGAGAAGGATCAACTGATGCATGAAGCTGTTGGTGACGTCATGCGTCTTGAAAGTACCAGACATCGGTGACAGGCACCCACCAGCTGATGCGGATACCTGATGAAGGAAGCTGTTGGTGACATCATGCGTCTTGAAAGTACCAGACATCGGTGACAGGCACCCACCAGCTGACGCCGATATCTGATGAACGAAGCTGTTGGTGAGATCATGAGTCTTGAAACGACCAGACATCGGTGACAGGGTCCCACTAGCTGATGCCGACACCTGATGAAGGAAGCTGTTGGTGA